TAATAATAATAATAATAATAATAATAATAATAATGGCAAACTCGTGAGGCTCTTATCATGTTCCAGGCCCTGTTTAAGGCTCACAACAACCTGTGAGACAGGTACTATTATTATTCCCATGTCACTGATGAGGAAACTGAGGCATAGAGGGGCTGAATAGTTTGTGCAAGGTCACGCAGCTAATAAATAATGGAGCTGAGGTTTGAGCTTAAAAAACCAAGTTTTTCTGGATTCCTTTCTGCTCAAAATACCCATTTTTGATACTGGCCTGAGGCCTAATGCCCTGTGAGAAAGCACCCAGGTGCTTGCTCAAGGCTGCAGGGATTCTATTTTTGAGAGAGAAGTTGGTTCCCCCGGCCCCCAGGCAAGAAAGAGAATTCGAGCCACAGATGCATGATGTAACCTTGCTGCTTTTCTAGTTTGGCAGGGAAGGCTGATTATTAAAACACCAACAAAAACACAGAGACACACAATCACTCCAAAGTCCCTGTGATATCTGCTGACTCTGATACTCTTACTGGTATCAATAAATGACCATACTCGGTCAAGATGCCTTTGCTGAGCTCAAACACCTGGGGGTTTGCAGTGGCTGAGACACCAGGGTTCCCTTCTCTGAGGGCCTGGATCTCTGGGAAAGATAAACAAATACATGAAAAAGAGGCTCAAAAAAAGCTATTAAAAGGCTGGGTGCCCTTGAGCAACTCAATGCCCAGTTCTAAGCCTCAGAGGCCTCAGACGAGGGGTGCCAGGGTAGATGCTTTTCAGGTTCCTTTGAACCTCCCAGAAGGGACATTCTAGAGAGCTCAGAGCCCCAGGTGTGAACATGCACAGTGCCATCTGACACTGATGTTTTGTTCCTGAGCTTTGCAGAAAGGGCCGGGGCATGCTGTCCCTGCCAGGCCACAGCCAAATGTCAGAGGAGACGGAAAAGCCTTCCTGTGCCTCGGGGAATTCAAAGGCAGCTTTTCACCAGGAGGAAGCCCTTCAGAAGAGCTTGACCTGGGGTCTGTTTTGGGACCTCCTCAGGGAGCCTGCCTCTGGCCGGGGGTTCATTTGGGGGGCAGCTCACCTTGGTGCAAGGGGGCATGGTGATGTTCAAGTGGCAGAGAATGTGCTGGGTGTCCTCATACTTCATTGCCTTGCGCAGAAATGACAAGGACCCTCCTGGTTCTCGACTGCTGTCCCTCACCTAAATTCAATCACACAAAAGGAAACTCAGGGGGCTGTTCCACAGGCCATGAGGTTGGCTGAGAGATTTCTGCCTCCTAAACATTCTAGACCCAGAAGAGAGGTCGACACCTTTACAGGAATGGCCAAACGGTTCTCCCGGAATGACTGGAATTGGAAACTCCGCTGCTGGGCAGCTTTTTTGATGGGTACCAGGTTCCCGGAGAGTTCTGCGAACAGGGGAGTCCCTTCTAACACCTGTAGGGAAGGGAAAAGCAGATTCAGCTGGTCATGTAGAAGTACCCAGAGTCCTGCCCTGCCCTCAGCTTTGGTCTTTCCTTCCCCGTGACCCACCCTTTCCTACAGGTAGTCTGGGAAATCGCACTGTTGGTTTTGGAAAGGCTTTATTTCCAAGTTACGCTTCCTTACTGGAAAGGAGCTTATAATAAGCAAGAACCTTCATATATTGCTGACAGAGTACCCCACAACTCCACTAGGATATCATAAAATGACTTCTGAAAACACAAACTGGATTTTACACCTGTCCAAAATGTTTAGTTTATGTAAAATGCTAGAAGGACCATGTGATATTTAAATCTCACCCCTAACATAAGGGTCCCGACTGTGTATATAATGCTTTCAACTGAACCCATTTTACAGTTGAGGAAATGGAAGCTCAAACAGAACAAATGTTTTGCCTACTTAGTTCTTTCTTCTAGGCCCTCAGCCACCCACAAAGGCTCAGCACAAACTTTGAGGCCAGATTTTTGGAAAGATCCTGGCTTATTACATACACATCTTAACATGAGTGAGTATCCTGGGGTCAAGAGCAGGTTCCAATCCAGTCATCATCTGTCCAGCCCTCTCCCCTGCTTCCTCATCTGGACATTACCAAAACCGTGGCACAGCAGGTCAAAGTACGGGCTCTGGGGTCAGACTACTTGGACAAATCCTTTCTCTACCATTTACTTAGTTATGTAACCTTAGATAGGTTACTTAACTTCTCTCACTTCTAGTCACTTTTACTATTACCTGGTGCCTAAGGACTTTAATAAGTGTCATCTCTCATCATCACACATCACTGGGCCAACAATGACGTTCCCCACCTTTGGTGAAGCTTCCCTAGGATGCTTCTCAAGAGGGGCATCAGCTCTGGCCGGTGTGGCTCAGTAGTTAGAGTGTTGGCCTGCACACTGAAGGGTCCTGGGTTTGATTCCTGGTCAATGGCATGTACCTGGGTTGCAGGTTCGATCCTCGACCCCGCTCAGGGTGAGTGCAGGAGGCAACCAATCAATGTGTCTGTCTCACATTGATGTTTCTCTCTCTCTCCCCTGCCCTCCCTTTCATTCTCTCTAAAAATAAATGGAAAAAATATCCTCAGGATTAAACAAAACAAAAAAACATAAAAAAGAGGGGCATCAAAAAGACAGCCTGGAAGCCCCCCATCACCCGAGGAAGGATTTCCCGACTGCGCTGGGCCATGGTACTTTGGACAAAAAAGCCGACATGTGCCCTGTCCGAGCTCCAGAAGCTTTGTCTCATTATGGGAAGCGAGGCTGGCTGTGGGTGAGGGTAACAAAGGGATCCGGGTGCCGCACCTCTATGTCCCTGCTCCGGGCCACCTCGACGAAGTTCTCGTGCTGCTCAAGGGTCTTGTCCACCTTATCATCAGTCATGCAGTAGCAGCGCAGCCGCCCTTCTCGGGGGTCATTCATCTTGGCAAAAATCACGAACTTGGCCATGTAGGGCACTGCAGTAAGCTCCTTGTACAGCAGAGTGGCGAAGTTCACGGCCTCGGCAGTCCGAGGACAGTCCGACAGCCAAAACCTGGAAAGAGAGGGTTTTAAATTATACCCATGCTCCTGGCTGTCCGATGGAGCAGCCTGCTAGCCGCGCAATGGCCTCGCCAACACTCCTGATGGTCAAGGCAGGGCTTCCACGTGGAGGACACCGAGGTCCAAGCTTGGGAAGAGCAGGCTAGCGCACGAGGACGGCTACCTGTCGGGGCAGCGCTGACCCCTCCATGCAGGGCCTGGGAGGCCCTGGGCTGGGCGGGGACGCGTCTCACCTGGCAGAGACATTGGTGGTAAAGGTGGCACACTCGTTGGCATACACGAGCTTGGTCGTTCCTGTTATATCTTCCCACTGAGCTTGGTCTGTTCCTCCTGCAACAGGACCAGAAAATGGGATGGGGACAGTCTTTAGAACGTAGACACAGAGCTTGCCAAAACAGGAAGGGCCGAGTGTGCAAGAGCAGAGACGGGCACATCTTGGATGAAGCCCCGAGCACATCTATTCTCTCATACAGTCCTTCTCCTTCTAGCAACCCACAGCACCCTCTCCACAGCAGCCTAGGGTGCTTCCTCGGAGAGCACGGATGCTATTTAGATGCATCACCCTTCATCCCTTCGAAGAACACACAGCAGGAGAAACCAACAAAATGAGAGATGCCAGCCAGCTCCGTCTTCTCCTGTCTCCCCGTGGTGTGGCAGGAAGAAGGACAGAAGACAGGCCAGAGGCAAGGGGGCACCTCTCACCAATGACACTGCAGAGCAGGCGCAGGCTGGTGGTGTCTCCCTCGCCGCTGTCCCGTGGGTTGTCCGTCCAGGAAGGAGGGAGTGGGATCCGAAGCCCGATGGGGCGGTGGAACTTCCGGCGCCTCGGCTCCACAGTGACAATGGGGCTGAATGTGGCCTGGTTGCCCAGGAGTTTGGTGACTAGCTCATCGGGTACAGGCTGGGCCTACGAAGCGTCAAAGGGGGGACATTCAGCCCCAGAGTATTAGAGGGGCTCGTAAAAGGAAACAGCAGTCCCCAAGGGGAGGGAGGGCTGTCTATGCAGAGCGCAAAGGTGGGCGGGGAGGGGTATCCCGCTACTAATGGACCACAGGGCTACCCCAGGTCTGAGGTCACTGTTCAGCTCTCCTTTCTGAGCCCTTTCTCCTCACTTCCCTGCTGCGCCTCATTCCCAGGACTGTGCCATCTTTGCTCAGCATTAGGTACCCTTCCAGGCCTTGTGCATTAATGTCTTATCTGGGACATTCAGCGACTTAACAGGGAGCTACTGCCTGACCCCACCCACCTAATTTTCTTTTGAGCTTTAAGGTCAAATCTCTAACTGAAATTTTCAGGCACTGGACAAAAGTGTGGGGCTGTCCTGGGGATGCGGGTCATCTTCCTGAGGGCCTTGAACACCTTCCACCTTTCATGACCTCTGTCCGAGTACAGTGGGGGGGGGGCACCCCAGCTGGCAAGGAGGAAGGCTATGTCACCTGCAGAGCCAGCTTCACTTTCTTGGTGACAGCATTTTCTGGGAATGTCGCCTGCACCAGGGGTACCAGCTTGCTCTTCAGAGAGCCGCCTTCGGGGCCAATGGTGTCATAGTCCTGGCAGAGCCGTGACATGATCACGAAGTACAAGGGGAAGTCTGTAGTGATGATGCGGCACACCCGCTTCTTCTCCAGCTCCTCCAGGCTCCCCAGTTCTGCAATCACACAGCATGGTGCCACCAGTCCTGGTAACACTGAGCCCAGGCTCAGCCACCACTGTGTCCCAGAGCTCCCTGACCCTGCTCCCAGGGCATGCCTCCACCCCAGGCACCCAGCAGTGGGGAGGGAGGCTGAGCTGCCTGGAGGGAGAAATCCCTGCCTCCAGAAGGTCCAACAAAAGGAGATGCAAGTGGCAGGCAGGGGCCAGGTGCTCGCTCAGATGCCCCAGGGACCAGGAACTGGGCTTAATGGGCCATCTCTAGTCTCTCAGGGCTCTCCAAACTCCAGGTGGCCCAACAGCCCATCCCCAAAGTACAACCTAAAATCCCATCGGCCAGAAGGAGGGCAGCTGCTCTGGGATCCCTGGGGCTCAGTTACCTTCATCCATTCCGTTGAGGATCTGATCCAGGTAGCTTTCTCCGTTGCGACTCTTGTGCTCTTTCCACACAGAGCCATTTTCACTCCGCAGCACCACAAGCTCACGGTCCCCGCGGCCATGGGAGGCAAAGTGGGGGATCTCCACAATCACAGGGCTGAGGGGACAGAGTGGATGGTGGGGAGGTGTGTGGATTCAGGTATGTGTGCCTTGCAGCAAAGGGAGGGAAGAACAGGGGTGTGGGGCTGTTGGTTTCTGCCTGGAGGGAGAAGGGTTTCTATAGCTAGAGTGGGAGCCCCACCTGTGAGCCAGTCCCAACAGTGAAACAGTCCTGCCTCAGGTTCCTGAGCCACACCGTGGCCCCTGTCACTCACCACCAGGCCCCCATCTTACTTCCAAATAACCCTGCCCTTGGACCCGATCCCGAGAACTTGCCTGACATCTCTACACAGGGGACAAACCTCTCGGAGCCTCAGCTTACCTCTCTGGCACAGTGATAATGACATGTTCTCTGCAGGGAGGCTTTCAGGACTACATTTAAAAAGGAAAATCAACACAAAGGCCTCTGCAGGCTGCTTTACAAGTGGTGGATGAAAGCTCGAAGGTGGGAATGGGAAGTGGACAGAGATGAGAAAGCAGGGCCTCCTGGCCAAGACCTGTTCCACACGACAGCTGACAGCCGTGGAGCCTGACAATAACAAAGCTCAGGCAGAAGCCCGGTCTGCCGCAGACAAGGTGAGGAATGAATGTGCCTTGAAGCCCATTCATCTTGCTGTCCGTGGGGGGCGATGCTGTAAAGCTGTCTTAGATTAGTTAAGACCATTTTGGAGCTGAAATAACTAAACCCTTGGGGGCCCCCAAAGCAGCTCTGTCTTCCCTGCCCCTTCTCTACTGTCATACAAGGTTTGAGAGTATTAAATTCCACCTGGGTTATGGACTCCTTAATGTACCTCAGAAAAGGCAGTTAAAGGGGAATAGGGGCTCTGGGTGCTGTTCCTGTCAGGACAGTAGAGAAAGAAGATGACGTGGGGCTCCAGGGCTCACCCTTCTCTCTGCCCTGTGGCTGGATGGATCTGGGTGGCTACTGCTGAGGTGGCAGCAACGGACCAGCAGGGCAGACAGGTTAGGGACACACCGCACACGCACACCCAGAGAGAGGCCTCTCACCTCAAGAACTGAGCCCCTGTGGGTCCCAGAGCGATGATCCTGCTAGCCAGGCCCTCCTCCTCGGCCAACGGGGGTGGTGTGCTCAGCTTCTGAGGCTTGACCAGGCGGCAGGTGATGCGAGTGGGTGCAGCACATGTCCGAGGCGGGATCACCACCCTCAGGCCATTGTGTCGACTCCCTCTCATGGAGCCTCCCCGGGCATCCACCATGAAGCTCACCAGAAACCTAGGGCACAGGCAGATCTATGTTGGGCTCCCTCTGAGACGGGGAGAGTGGGGGCCCAGAATCCCTCTCATGGGGGTCACTCACCCTGTATGGACGGGGCTGGCCACTGGGCTGATGTTGTCTGAGGTCTCTGTGGCCGGGCTGCTGGGGATGAGTGAGTCTTCATCATACTCTTTAGATGCCTGAGGAAGAGAGAAAGGCCAACTGTCATCCCCTCCCAGGCCACAGGTGCTGGTCTCAGGACAGCCCATGTTGTGCCTGGCTGGGGAGGCTAGGAAGCACCTCCTCGCCAGAAACCAAGGGGACCAGTGGAGGAAGTGCTCCCACACGCTCAGCACTGACCCTCTGGGCACAAGGCATTCCTGGAGTCTAACAGGAAACATAGCTTCTTCCTATCATCTGGGCCACTCCTCTGCTCAAGACCCTGGGATAGAGCTCGGGAACAGATGGAGTGAGTCCTCACTCCAGTCTGGCTTCAGTCTTAGGTCCTATACTCACTGCTGACCTACCCACCCTGTTCTCCAGCTACACCCCAAGGTGAAACCTCCGCTCAAGGTGGCTTGGTTTTCATAGTAGAGTTGGCAACGAACCCAGCACCATCACCTTCTGGCTCTTGAGCTCTGGGTGAACTCCTTGTCCTATAGGCACCTGAGGTACATGAGGTGACTAGACCAGACCATTGCCCTGCAGGAGGGGGCCTTCCTGTTTCCTCATCTGCAAATGGGACAGCTCTCTTGCCTCACAGTAACGTTACAACTACAGGACATGGAGCTGCCTCACACAGGGCCTTGTACATCACAAGGACTCATGAAAGCCAGCAGGGTCTGGCTCTGTTCCCATCCCCTCCAGGTCTGTTCTCAACCCTGCTCTCACTTGTGCTACCCCACAGGTGCAGATGCCCTTGTCCCTCTTCTTTGCGCTCATTTTTCACGTCTTGTCTTTTCCATGAATCTTCCCATTGACTCTGACCTGGAAAAACTCATACCACACCACTGACCATTTGGATATTTACGCTTCCTGCACTCTGAGCTAACTGGTTTCCGTAGCTGAGTCCACCCTTGCCAGTTGGACCATCAGCTCCTAGGAGGCAGGTATGGGTCTCATAGTCCACCATCCATCCTATACAGGGCATATAGTAGGACTCCAGAAACACCTGCTGACTTGAGTTCATGACTTAGGTGAGGAGTTTAAGAGAATGGGTTAGTCAAGAACAGCAGGACACAGGTCCACTTGGCTGCTTTCTCATCGCTGATTTTGGCAGCACCCAGGGAGTATCTGACTGTGTCTCCCAAATGCCACCCAAGGAGTGACACCAGCATCCATCACTACAATATACCCAGCATGGAATTGCTGGCTGGACAGCTTCACAGCCACTTGGGCCCAGGGCTATGGCTGCTGCACTCAGACACCCCCCCCACCAGCAGTGGAAGAGACCAGCCTTCTCTGGGACAGACACGCCTGGCTCAGTTATCAGGCCTCAGGCAGTCATTTCCAACCTCCAAACACCACAGTGCCAATGGCATAAAATTAACTAAGGGGAAATTACATTGTTTTAAACCACCCCACCCTTTTTGGGGACAAAGTCAGATGGCATCCAGGGAAGCCACAAAATAAGGTACTATAATGAATAACAGCCCAAGGTGGGCACAATCTCTCTGACACCCTCTTTCTATTAGTATTGGCATTTTAAGCTCCCAATAATCCCTTAAGGAAGGTGAGGCAGAAACTGCTCCCTTTTTCATGGATGGAAAAGAGGAGCCCAGAGTTCCGTGACTTGCCCAAAGCTTCACTGTAGGCGCGGCTGCAGCCCCGGCTCCCTCTCCAGCACCATGACCTGCTGCCCCCATGGGTGCAGAGAGCACGTGTACCAGGGTGGTGGCCGTGAGAACACTGCCGTGAGAGCCCAAACTTCTGGCGTCAGTTCTCAGCCTTACTTGTGACTGGCCCAGCGTAATGATGTTTCACACGCCTGTGGGCTCTGTGAGACGCGTGTCAGTCATGTCTGGGATAATGAAACACTGACAGCACAGGGGCCACAAAGAACACGTGGAATCTCAGATCTGCACGGCTCGGTAAATACTACATGCTTTTCAACTATAAGCTCCTATCGTACTGCAGGTCATCATAAGCAATCATTGTTCCAGGATCCTCGCTCTCCACAAAATAGAAAATAAGAGAAAAGATGCTCCTAACCTGTTCTGGTTCTTCAGATCTGATCACCACTGTCTCAGGTGTGACACAAGGAATCCTCGGGATGGCTGGAGATTCCACCCTGTGCACCAAGAACATTGAAAAATCAAGGAGATGATCCTTCTAAGTGGCCCCCTTCTCCCATGGGAGGCCTAAGTAAAACACCTCTGTACCCCAATAATAACCTACCTAATCTGTCCCGTCACCATAGCCTGGACCCCTCCATTTGCACATGCAATACAGTTCAGCCTCCACCACTGATCAGCCTCCTCCTTTCACCTTAAAGCCTTTCCAGAGCCCACTGTCCTTCACAACCTCACTGAAGGACCTGCCTCCTCCACAAACCCCCACCCCCGCCCTACTCTCATCAGCCCAGCTCTTAGCCTTAGAGCCCTTGCTGGTAGAATCCTCGTTCTTTATTCTGCATTGCTATACAACCTCTTGGAGTGTGTTTTGATCCTACCAAATAAACCTGTAGTTTCTTTCTGGCTAGGGGCCAAGTCTTGTACTTCTTCCTAACTGATGTCCAATAAATACTAATTGATTACATATCATTGTTGTTTCACTTCCTGCTTGTTCCACTGCCCTGCTTTGTTATAAGCCATGGGCCCAAGTTGGCACACATCTGTCTTTTCAGAAAACACCGAGGGCTGTGTTTCTACACAGTTGTTGCTTTTAGATTTACTTGCAAAATATCTGTGTGCTAATGTGCCCACTGCAGAATCACTCCCAGTGTCATAGGGAGGAAGGAGAAATGTGTTCCAGGCAGAGAGAGGCTCTCTTTGAGTTTCTCCTAATGTACAGAAGGATGTGGTCAGTGTCTAAGCTTAGGCACTGGTTTCTAATGTGAATGTTCCTCGATGGATTTTTCTGGGTGAGAAGCTGAGAGTGTACGAGAGGGAGAGGGATGTGCATATGAGACTGTGAATGAAGGGGGAAGAAAGTTGGGAGGCAGAGGTACCAGAAGAGACGGGGAGACACAATGGGCCAGCACGCTGAAAGGGAGGTCTCCGGGTCCCCGCTTGGTGCTCAAGGTGCAGAGCTAGTTTATCCTAAGGTCCCACAGTCCCACAAACCAGCATCCTATCCCCGTCAGTGGCACCCCCAGGGCCTGGCCTTCCTGTGACTTCTCCCTCCTCTGAGAGCCGGGGCTGGACCGCGGCCCCCGCAGCACGAGCACTTCTTACACTTGGTCCAGCTTCGGCACGAAATCCAGCAGCTCCCTCTCTTCGTCCACGTCTCTGGAGTCCTGCCTCTCGGCCTTGGAGCCTACGAGTTCTTCTCCTGAAACCACACAAGTTTGAGTGAGTGATGCTATGGAGACTGCTGCTTTCTTTTTAAAAAGTGCTTTGCCTGGTCCTCAGTGCCGAGGAGTGGAGGGAAGTCTCTGATGCTTGAAGGGGATCACTAGCAACGTCTTGGACCAGTCCTGTTCCTCCAGCCCTGGTATCTAGAGCAGGGCAGCCAGCTCCTAGCATCTCAGTCTGTAGCAGGCTTTGTAGAAGAAAAAAATACAACCAGAAAGAACTTTTTCTTGCTTGGCAAATTCCACTTCCAAAGAGCCCTTGTAGAGTGTACAATGACACCAAAGAAAGGGTTGCTTCTGTTCTTTTCCACTCCGCACACTACCGAAGCATAAGCTACCACGGAACCGAACCCGTTCGTTGTGAAGGGCTGAAGGATTCTTGGAACCACGGCAGGTGGGACCTCATTATTTCCTAAGCCCATCACCAAGAGGTTCAAACTAGGCCTGCAACCCAGACTGCCTCTTTTTCTCTCTTCTTGCTTGAACTGTAGTTGGAGCCCTCAACCTTGCAGTGTCTTTTGTTGTCACTTAGCAGTGAGTGTCCTGACTTTGTGATCTGGAGCTGACAGGATGAAATAACAATAACAGCTCATGCAGTTATGATCACAAACACAGTGGCATGGACACAGACACAGAGATGGACAGGCAGGAGCTCCCTGCCAGGGCATGGAACTTATGGTTGTACATTTCCTGTTTTAGTCAAAGCTCCTGGCTCCAGATTGTTAGCGCCAGAGGAGGGTGGAAAGCACGAATGGATTAGTGAGAGCTTGGGTTGCTTAGGGTGAAATGCACTTGTGAGAAAGGACCACAGGGAACAGAAAGTGTTTCATACCCATTATAGTTATATGAGCAGTTCCTGGAAAGCAAAGAAGAGCCAAGTTTAAGACAGGACAGGATTGAAGTCAGTTAAAGCGAGAGGCATATTACCAAAGAGGACACAAGGACAGCTTTCATCATCTAGTTGCAAAGTTATTCATTCAAAGGCCAGAGAGGTAACCAATCCAATCCCACCATTGGCATCCCGAGGGTTCCTTTCTAACTTAAGTGAGGAAATAGGCTTATCTGGGGCAGTAAAATGCTGCAAGCACTCTGTGGTTCATAGATGTTGAAACTATAGTAATTTCATGAAAATAGATATATATACCCTAAAACTTACTAACCCATTATGTGGTAAGAAGAGCAGCTTATTAAAGAGATTCGCACAGATTTTAAATTAACAGCTTATTGTTCCTTCAAAGCTCTAGGAAAGCACCAGGCAGAATTTATGACAGTTCTTACAGCCCTGATGACTGATCTCAGTAGACTCATATTCTATGCATAAGTCATGCAAACACACATATTTATGAAATTTCTTTGGATTTTGTATTTTAATCTCTGAGATGTAGGTTTTCCTTCTAAAATTATATTGAAAGAGTGTATTTGGTAACAGAGAACATCTTTGAAAAGTAGTTCTCTCTGGTTTCAGTACAGACCTGCAGAACTGGGATGCGCTATAAGGACACCTGAGTGTGACAGGAAGCACTCAGGGAGTGCTCAGAGCCCATGTGTCCCCCGACTTCACCCGGACTTCTGTTAAATCCCAGACGTTACCTTCATCTTCAGAGACATCGAGGATCTCATCCACCGTCTCAGGGAAACTCATCCGGTGTTTGTCACTGACTAACTAAAATGAGAAAAAGCAGACAATTCAACTCAAACAGAGCAGTGGGCTGTTCACCAATCCAGCAGTTACCTGGTCATGACTGTGGAGACAGGAAGGAGGTGGAAAAGGTGCTTTGTCCCAAATGAAGGAAATCAGAGCTAAGAGGCTCTCAGCCTGGAAGCTGATGTCTGACAGGAAACGCCAGCTTCCCATTGCCTAGCCCCGGCCCCAATCCCATCTGGCTACTGCCCCCTTAGGTCGCCCAATTCCTCCTGCCACTAGGTGGCAGTACAACTCCACTGACGAAGGAGACCCACCATTCTTCCCGCCTGTTGGCTTGGTTCTTTGTACTAGGTATCCTAGAAACCCAGAAGAGCTGCACTTCTGAGTAACCCATAGGGGCACCCTGTCAGTCAGGCTGTGTGTGTTTGGGGTGGCGGATGCAAGGGATGCAGACATACCACAACACTGGGTTCATCTGTGACAACCTTGAGGACGTCTGTTACAGAAATGTAGCCCAAGCGCTTGGCTATTGCCAGAGGTGTGGTTCCATTCTGGGAAAAATAGCAGAGAGAGTGAGCAGGTGAGATCAGACAAGGGAATGGGGTCTGGGAGGAAAGCCAGCCCCCTTTACATAGACCAAGCTCACATTCTAATTGTTATACAGGGTTCTACAGTGAACAGACTGCACCTTGGAGCCAAGAGCAAGACCACTGCACATTTGCAAGCCCAGACATGTGCTAGATGCTAGCCAGGGTATGGAAGAGAGGAAAGCTGTGATACTTTAAATCTGTAGCGCTGAGTGTGAGAACCTTGAAATGAGAGCAGGGAAATCTTGCCAAAGCAAGTCAAAAACTTCCAAAAGGGAGCCAATTGGGAAGAAATGAGTCAGGGAGGCATCATATGCAATTTCAGGAATCTGAGGGTACAGGACAATGCTGTTCACTGCTCTCAACACCAGTTCTTTGGGTGTCAGTAACTGAGCATTAAAATGGTTAAGGTAATCCATATAATTCTATGTACTCCTTTCAGGCCAATCAGAAATCACGAACTGCCCAGCCGGGCGTGGCTCAGCGGTTCAGCGTTGACCTAGGATCCAGGCGATAGGGGGTTCGATTCCC